AGGGAAAGGAGAAGGAGAAAGAGAATACCAGGTTTTGGATGACTTTCCTATGAGAGAAACAAAAAGTAATGCTGGAAAACACTCATCCTTCCAAATTTCAAAATGATATGTAAGATTAAACATACAAGAAGTGTGTGGACAATGCTCTCAGGCACAGGGTGTGCTTCCTGGTGCTGTTCTGTGGCAGGGCCAGGAGTTGGACTTCAATGATCCCTGTGAGTCCCTTTCAACTCAGGATACTCTAAGATTCTGTGGTAACAGCAGATGACTTCTTTTTTCACCCTCCTGATAAATGAATCTTTAGATTACAGTTTGTTCTGATGTTGCCACATTTCAACCAGTGTGTCTGTGCAGGACAGAAAATTCCTCCTGATTTGATGTGAGTTTGTATTTCGGGACAGCAGAAAGGCACCTCCAGCACCTCAAGTAGAGCCTACACAAAATCACCTCTGGTTGTTTCCTCTCTTCTAGTGATCCCCAAAGTAACTAAGCACTTGCTCTCCAATCCTGTCTTCACCTGTATCATCCTGGCAGCCTGCATGGAGATTGCAGTGGTGGCTGGCTTCGCTGCCTTCCTGGGAAAGTACTTGGAGCAGCAGTTCAACCTCACCACCTCATCTGCAAACCAGCTCCTGGGTGAGTAACCACAAAGGGGCACCAAATCTCCAACATCCAAATGTATTTGAAAGTGTTCAGCATGGCTGGTAAGTGCAGCCAGTCTCGCTGGTTAGGCTGCCCAAAAAGTGACTTGTCCAACAAGTAGAAATGTGTCCATGAGTGGGAAGGGTTGGCTTCAGCAGTCCTGTGGCTGCAGAACCCGGAGCAGACCTCCAGCATCCTTCCTCCTCAACTGGGCTCTCCACTGCATCCTGCTGTAGCCTGCATTCCCCTGTAGCTGAGTCCATTGTGTGGGAAGTGGTATGGGAGAGCCAGGATATGAAAGTCTGTGATAGCCTTGAATGCAGCAGAAATGGGCCATTTGCTTGCCCAGGACTGCAGTTGCTCGACAAGTGACAGAGAAGCCCATCAAACAGCTTGTCTTATGGTTCAGGTATCCCAGAGTACTCCAGCCTATCTCCATTTGGGTTAGGAAGACCAGATTCTCCTCCTAGTCACTCCTTTCCCCTTGGACTGGAAATGACAGCATTGCAATCAGTAGTTCAAGTACCTGAGCTAGTGCAGCTTGGTTGTCTTTCAAATGCCCCTTCTCTCTGACTAGGCCATGCTGCTGTGCTTTCCCATCTATGTATTTCTCAATATTCATTTGTTCCCTGTCAGGACACTGATGGCAGGATCTTCATTTATTTTCTGCTGCTGCTCATTCCCAAGCAGGCTCAGCAATTTGTTTATGACAGTCTTTCTCTCAGCAGCACCCAATTAAGATATCTGCAAGTTGATCTTGGATGATCTGCAACCACAGCTTGCCAGATGGGCAGCTGGTAGTGATCTGTCAAAAACTGGGACATCAGGAAATGGGTGGATCTTAATATCAAAATAAGGAGCTTGCAAGCTGCTCTCCTGACAGCTATTTATTTTCCTATTAAACTTATCGATATCTTCTGGTTTTGGCCTGGTTTTTCAAAAGAAACAATCCCCTGCAGTCAGTCTTGTGTCCCTCGGTGATACAGGAACTCACTGGTGAATTCTAATATGATTTGACAGAAGGCCAGAGGTCTTGGAGATGTTAGGCTCTTCCATCTTTCATGAAAATGAAAAGCTTGGCAAAGGAAAGCAACTTCAGTGTTGACCCAGTGGAAGAAGGAGAAAAGCTGTTTAGTGGGAGATGCATGGGCAGTCAGCATGTGAGTAGAACTGAGTGGTCAACAAAGAGGGGATCACCCACGAGCCAGAGCACGTCCTGCTTCTGAACTAGCAGTAGGAAAGGAGACTGATATCTCAGTGTTCCTCACAGCAACTTGTTTAAACAAAGCTGTCACCAGAGTTCCCACATGTCATTTAAATGAGTCCAGAAATGCCAGGACTGGGATGCTCTCCTAAGCTGAGTCCAGGTTGGTGAGGTCTGAAGTATAACTGGCAGCAAAGGGATAAAAGTGAAACCCAAACAAGCATAGTGTGATAATGCCTGTCCATGCCTGGAAAGGAAGTCACTTCTGGCAATGATTTTGCATCTTACAGTTTAAGAGGATTATTTAAGGAGACTTCATGTTTTCAAACACGACTCTTGCCTAGTCTCTAAAGATCAGACTTCATAGTGTGAAGTATAGCAAGCAGGACTCATCCAAAGCCTCTAGACACCTCAGAAAATTCTTTATTTGTCTGCCAACTGTTGCAGGAGGCATTAGTGATGCTGCTGGTTAGGTTAGGTTGGGCCAATCTCAGTAAATTTGGCATTTCCTTCCCTCCAATATGGATGAGAACTGAAAGAAGATCCTCTGTGCATACCCATTTGCATCTGTTCCTCTTTTTCAGGCAGCCCCAGCTTGGTGCTACTCCAGCAGTTGGTCATTACAAGGTTTCCCCATGCCAGTACACAGATCTCACTGCTGGAGACCAAAACTCTGTAATAGTGTGGATCACTGAGCCTTGCTCATGCTTCTTGCTAACTGATTTTTCCTCTTGCAGGAATGACAGCAATCCCATGTGCGTGTCTGGGCATATTCCTGGGTGGCCTCTTGGTGAAGAAGCTCAGCCTGTCTGCTCTGGGAGCCATCAGGATGGCCATGCTGGTGAACCTGGTGTCCACAGCTTGTTACGTGTCTTTCCTGTTCCTGGGATGTGACACAGGACCTGTGGCAGGAGTTACTGTTCCCTATGGAAACAAGTGAGTCTCCAGAGAGTTTCAGGGTCTCACACAGCTTTACCAACATAAATCCATGTTATTCTCCTGACAGGCAGCACTGGCCCCTCCAGCACAGGGCAAGCACAGAGAATGCAGAGTTGTATAGGGCTCTCGATTTGGGATGTTTTCATGCCACTCACCACTGTGACATTTGAGTACCTGCAGCTAACAACAGAGCTTTACTAAAATCAGTCAAACTGAATCAAAAGGTGCCAGACCTGATTCTGTACTCATGGCCACCTGTGTAGCACTAGGTCCACCACACTGTCTGGTTTCTCCTGACAATGAGGGACATGCACTGCTTTGTATATTGATTGCAGTGCCTGAGGGAAATTTGTAGAACCAGGTTTTAGGTGCCTGGAAATTCAGATATGGTGAAGAGAGAATGTGTGTGGCTCCAGGCCCAGTTTAGTGTGAGAAATGAGGCACACAGTACCCTGCAGCACTCACAGGACTTGGAGAGAGTTATCCTGTATTTTATTTTCTAGTGCTCCTCAGTGTGCAGGGGTGACTCTTTAGAAGATGACGATTTCAGCCTCTCAACTCCTCACAGTGTTCTAGAAAAGTACAGAGCAATCTCTGCAGTGTCTGGGTTTCCTTGAGGCTTCTCGTTGAAGTAACAAGGCAGCCCAAGCTGTGCATTAAATTACCTGCTGCAGAGGGATAGTGGCCATGGCATTTCTGTCCCCAGGGAGAGGCTGTAGCCTGGGTTTGAGAGCTGAAACCAGCTAGCCTGGCTACTGCTTGTTTGTAATTGGTTTGTCTTAACTGCCCCCCTCAAAGCTGTCTTTGTGTGGCAGCAATGGAAAAACTGGCCAATAGCACCACAGTGCCCATTAATTTCTCTTTCTTTTACAGCTCAACTCCAACCTCATCTCTGGACCCATATTCCCCCTGCAATAACAACTGTGAATGCCAAACTGATTCCTTCACTCCAGTCTGTGGGGCAGACGGGATCACATACTTATCTGCCTGCTTTGCTGGCTGCAGCAGCACGGTGAGTGAGTTTTCCTTGGGAAAAGTGGGACCTCTCACCTGTAGGAACCATTCTGTGAGCTCAAGTTAGTGAGGTTGGTGTGTATCTGGTAGAGTAGGTCACCTGCAGTCAGCAGTGGTTCCACCTCCAAAAGCTGATCTCACAATCAGATGGGAGTGAGCTGCTGTTGTTTTTCACTCTGTTGCTCACTCTCTCCAGCAGCAGTCTGCCATGGTTACCTACAGAGTAGGATGGGATTTCACATCCTTCTCCTCCTCCAATGGTCTTTCTCCTCAGCATGGAAGCAAGAAACATGATAGGAGATCTGCACAGTTGTCCAGTGGCAGAACCCAGATCCTCTGCGAGAGCTCACTAGCCCAGGCTGTGGGACCAGTTCTCTATTATCCTGCAGCTCCTTATCTCCCCTCTTCTCCTCCTGCTCATGTTTGCCCTGTCCAATCCTTTTATTCTTCTTCCTCTTGCTCTTTTCCTGAATCTGGTTCCTAGAAACATGTGGCCAGATCCTGGTATTACTCACCCTTATTTAAGCTTTCCTTTCACTCTTCTCACTTCTGTCTCTTTCCTTGTGTTGCTCTGAGGCAGCAGCAAGAGCAGTTATCAGGGGAGCAGTGACTCCATCCAAAGACATTCTGTAGTTTTCAGTTCTCTATATCTAAGAGTTTATTTCCTTTAGAAAACTCTTTAAGACCAAACTATCTCTGTATAAAGAAGATGTGGGGAATTTTTAACAATATCTTAAAAGCAGCTTTTTCATTTTTTGCCGCTGAAATGCTGATGTCTTCTGGGTTATGCTGAAAATTAATGCCTGCTGCTCCTGCGGGTGGGCACTGGTGGGATTCCTGCAGCCTTGCTCCCTGCCTGGGGCCGTGCCAGGCATGGTGATTGCTGCCACACTGCCTGTGTGGAGTGTGTGGGAGGTCAGATTGGTCACAGTGATTGTTCGTGGCTGCAGGGGCATCAGTGCTCACCACGTGCAATTATCCCTGCACATCTTCATCCTTGTTTTTTGAGGAGACATCAGACCTGCCTTCCTGCCCTAAAGAGAGCTGGTGAGCAGAGATGCAAGCTCACTGCTAACAATGCAGCCTCACAGCCCAGGTGACCTGGGGCCTCATCCTGCTTAAACCTCCTTTCTCCTCCATTCCCACTCCAGCCTCAGAGATGCAGGCATCCCTTTGAAATATCAGTTTCAAGGTGCTTTCAGCAACCCCACAAGGATCTCCATGAATGTGACACATGTGAAGGTGTTACCTCCTGCCCTCTTCTTCCTTCTCCTTCCAATAAGTCAACACCTGGGGTGGCAGCAGGATGATTTTAGCCAGAAGCCAGTTTGTTTCTTGCACACAGAATAGTGTCTCAGCAGTTCACCAAGCCTTGAGCAAGAATACAGCCAGTGTGGTCCATGGCTGGCATGTGGGAGTGACCTCCTTGCTGCAGTTCAGGGCAAAGCTCTGGCTCCTCTGGAAGGAGCACAGTAATGAAAATTCAGCTCTGCCCCTTCAGTCTGCAGCTGCCTGACCTTATGCTCTACAAGAGCAAACCTCTCAGCAAAGAACTCACTCTCGCTCACCCTCTCTCTTACTGATTCTTTCTCATTTTGCCTTTTCGTCATCATCTTGGGGTTCTTTTCATGGCGTTGTTTTGTGGGTTTTTTTTACAGTAACATTTTGAACCCAAATTAGTGAAGCAATAGCATCCTCTGGAAAGGGCATTATCAAGAATTATGGACCAGTTTGGCCATGCAATGGCCTTGAGGCAAAGCCAAATTGCCAAACCAGGTTTTAAACCCATAATCCAGGTAATGACCTGTCTAGAGGGTCTTGCGAGTGTTATATGCTTGTGATGAGCCAAGGGTTGCTTTTTACTGGGACATAAAATTCTCTGAATGCTTTATTTAACTTTACTACGTTGGATGTTTCTGACTGCCTTTCTCCACTTTTCCTCTGTGAACAATTTCTAAAAGCAATGTGTAGCTCAGTAAGTTTTGTCTTTTTTTTTCTCTTCTCTCTTACCAAGCTGGTTCCAGAGGTGTACCAGCCCAAAAGACCATAGGAATATCAGTGCTGATAGTCAGAGCTCTGGCACCCTCAGGAATTTTTCTTGCAAGCCATTCCTGGGAGTGACCCTTCCATATGAAGCCTTTGACTGTGCATCTTGTTTGTTTTGATGCCATTGATTGTCTCAGCCTTTTGGCTGGAAGCACACAAATTCCAGCCTGGCATTACTGTGCTGGCATCACACAGCTTTGCATTGTAGTACCAGCCTGTCCCTTCCCTGTCAGAGCCAGGGCTTAAAAAATGAGTAATTAAAACCGGCTAATTTGCATAGATAATCATACCAAAATCAGGATACTGTTAAAGATGTAAACTCTGCATCTGTGTAGCCTCACATGCACATGGAAATCTGGGTGTGCAAGCTGCAAGGCTGTGAGGATATGTAGTTGAATGCAGTGGGCTTGCAGACAAGGGGATCTATAGCAATTTGGCACAAAAAGTTGCCTCTCCATGGGGCAAAGTTCTGACTCCATCTTTGATGTTTCCTTGTTTGATGTCTGCAAGTTATATAGTGTGTCAGTAATAAAAGATCAAAGATCTCCCAGGTAAGGATGAGGTGCAGTGCTAAGCAAGCAGATGTAGTTGGTACAAACTACTCGCACTGCTTTGGGCTAGCACCTTGATGCAAAATGGTCAAAAAAGTGGATTGAGGGGCAAATTTTCAGGCAGTGAAGGTGGGGATCTGCCTTGAAGTTTGTAAAAAATTCACTCCAGTGGGAGGAGAATCCACCCTACCATTGCCAGAAACAGGTAATTTCCATCCCATGGGAGAGCCCATGGGAAATAACCACCCAGTTCTGTGTGTCTCTTGTGATGGGAATTTTGTCCCAGGATATTTCAGTGCAGGTACATACCTTTCTACATTTAGATGGGTTTTGATCCACGGGGCTATGTCCAGGCTGGTTGCTAGCAATACACTACTGTAAGAGCCAGAAACTGGAAATTCCTGTTGTCTGTGCAAACACCACCTCAGTGGTGCTAATTGTCACAGTTCCAAAGCCTTCAGGTGTCAGCTTCTAACTCACAGCACAGGAATTTGTTATGTTAATTATTGCTTGCCAGCCAGAAAGGCACCTGTATGCCTGCTCCAGTGCTCCAGGAGTTCTGCACCATGGTCTCTCTTGCCCTCTGTGCACTTAGCTGGAAGAAAATCATTTGACTCCTATGCAGAAGAGAGAGATTGGTGTCAGAAAGGTTGGAGTAGTATCCCTGCCGATCCTTGTCTTTGGAGGCAGTGAACCAGAAAGTGTGCTTTTATATGGTCCTAAGGGTACTCCTCTGCAGAAATGCAAAGGAATTTCTGCTTAAACATGGTAGAGGGGAAGGGGAGGAGATTTAGCTGGTTTTCAGTATGTTTTATTTTATGGCATTACTCCTCTTACAAACATGTGACCTGCAAACCCAGCAGGCTGATGAAGACAAGCCATGAATCATTTATGATCATTTCATTCTGTATTCGTTAAGGGATTTCTTGGTAGTATTGTGTGCCTTAATTGCACTGACATCCCCCACTCAAAAATTCAGGAGGGCGAGCTGGAAAATAAGAAGAAAAAAGCAAATCCTTAAGTCTGTGACTGGCAAACAAAGCTTCTTTTCACATCCTGCACTTGCTGGAGAGATCAAAGCAAAATGCAGTTATTCCACCCTCCTTCTGATCACATATTGATAAACTTTATCTCGCTTGACTTCAGCTTTTAGCTCAACACAAATCCCTCTGAACTAGATGTCATTTATTAGCCCTGGAGTGCACTAAAGTCCAGCAGTGTCTGTGCTGCCAAGCTCTGATAGTTCAGCTCTCACTGAGCCGCAGCACCCATCGTGGGTGGCTCCTTCCCAGGATTCAGGGTGCTGGAAGCAGGCACTAAACCCGCAGCCAGGAAAAGGGCTGCAGATTTACCTGCATTTAATGTACTTCAGTTTAATTGCAACAGCCAAGAGGATGGAGGTAAATAAGAAAGTAATTAGAACCATAATTGGGGGATCTTCTTTGTCGCAGAGACATGGATTGTTTCTTTATTCTCCTCCAAAGAGGTAGTAATTTTGTCACAATGACATTTATGGGGGAGACTTGAAAGGAGCAGAAGAAAAGAAACAAGCCAAGAGACAGCTTTCCCTTGCTGGTAACATGCATCAGAGCTGGCACTCCTGAAATTTGTTCCAAACCCCCCTCAGACAAGCACTTAGCAGTTACTTAATTGACCATTAGAGGATTCAGAGTTGCCGTTGACAAGCCCAAGTTACAGAGGGCAGTGGTGGCACCATGTCTCTCTCATCTCCTGACCCTCTGCTCCCCTGCAGAACCTCAGTGGCTGTTCATGCCTCACCTCGGTCCCTGCCGAAAATGCCACCGTTGTTCCTGGCAAATGCCCCAGCCCTGGCTGTGAAGAGGCCTTCCTGACATTCCTCTGCGTGATGTGTGTTTGCAGCCTGATCGGGGCCATGGCACAGACGCCGTCAGTCATCATTCTCATCAGGTAGGACCAACACCAGAGGGTCTGGTGAGCTCAGAGGGGCTGCTCCTGGGGTGGGAGCAGAGCTGGAGTGACCATGGGGCTCTGCTGGGAGCTGCAGGGAGCTGAGGGTCCCACACGGCTCCTCACCTCTGCCTTTCAGGCTGCACTGACTGTCCCCAGATCCGTGACTTTGGACTGAACCTCCACTCAAGTTTTCTTCTCTCTAAGCCACTATTTCATTTGGTAGCACTTGGCTTATCCGTGGCATAGCCCCACTGAAATCACTGACTACAGTACGGACCTACTAGAGAGAAAACAGGAATTGCTCAAGTGTAGCTTTGGTAGAATGGGAGTGAGGTGGAACTGGGCCTGCAAACAGAGAAGATCCCTGCAGAAGTACTGCAAAGAACAGTGTCAGGCTTGTTCTTACCAAGGCTGAGATTATCATGAGAAGGGAGATACAGATGTGCGGTTTCCAGTCCAAGTATTAAGAAAGTTACTGGTGCATCAGGAGAGGGGCAGAATTGCAGCCCAGTGTTCTCAGCACATAATGACTTAGTAAGATACCTTTAGAGATGGCCTGGAGATCGTAGAAACCATGGAAAATGAAAGGCTGTGGCAAAAACTAGCTATGATCAATACCCACCTGGCCAGAGTTTAACTTCTCTCACCCTGGACCAAGTCCAGGAGCAGAAGGAACTTGGAGGTCTGAAGGCCATGTCTGAGTTAAACCAATATGAATAGGTGGGCAAAAGTAGCTTATGCAAATAACTGACCTTGTGTTATTTCCAGACACATGGAACACTTCACCTTATGATATACATATATATCTAAGCCCACATTTATCCAGAATTACTTAGCTGTCCAGGCTGTCACTTACTGAGAATAATAACCAGAGGCATAAATAGCAGATCTATTCTGCTGCCTGGAAAATTCCAATAAAATTCAATCAATAAGGTCTGTATTAGTACCACACTCTTGAGTGAATTTTGGACAGAACAGCTCTGTGAGGGCATGTCTCCCTGCAGGATACAAAATGAGATATTCCACCTACTAGTTCGTTTCTCTCTTTGCATCTCTGGCAGCTAAAGGGAAATCAAATTTCTCATGATAAATATTGTGGCAAAAGTAATTTGAAGTTTGAAGAGTTCTTTGTTCAAGGAAGCTGCCAGCACCTGTAGGATCCCGCATGGAGACATCTTAGTGTTGCCTTCAAATGAGATAAGCCTGGCACCAGCCAGGGAGAACACAAGGGAATAAGAAAAGTGAAGGGAATATTAAACATACTCCATTCAGAGCTGTAGGAAGTAAACAATTCACACATCCAAATTAGTAACTTCACTCAGAATCACTGATAGCTACCAAAATGAACAGGGAAAATGCTCTTCACCTTATACCACTTTGTGATCTCTTGTGACTGCTGTCTTGCATTGTCTAAGGAAAGTTGTGGCATATGTGTGTCCCTGGTGCCCATGGCAGTGACAAGTGGATGTGTCCCTGGTGCTCATGGCAGGGACAAGTGGCATTGGCAGCCCCTGTGATTATTTAAAAATGAACTTCTCAAATTAAAAGTCTTGTTTAGGCAAGTCATTTGTTCACTGTGGTAGTCAGTGAGAAAAGGGGATGTCTTCAGGTGGCAACTTTTACTCTGCCCTAAGGTATGGGGGTTGACTTTGGTCTCAAATACAAAATAGTGGATGGAAGGACACCACCACCAATTGAAAACCCACTGGGAATATTTCACATGATAATTTTTTTTCCATAAAATAAACTTTAATACTCAGTTTCTTTCATTTCCCACCCAACTATAGAAACCTATTTGAGCCAAGCCATTAACCACTAGAACATTTTTCCAAGGTCAGATAATTCCTGGCATAAAGACTTTATACAGAGTTTGGGGTCTGCCTGAAAACTGCTGAGATTCATCCAGAAGCTACAGGCTCCATGCAGGAGTTGTTGTCTGATGTTACATGGTCTATGAATGTGTGAAGGGAGAGCAGGTGATTGGAATGGTCTTCTCTTAAAACCTCTTGCTGGTTTTGCCTATTTTATCAGTTTTGTCTGATGTTCCTCCAGTGTATTTATGCCGAGGACTACCACTGCCACTGTGGATGCCACTAGCAGTGCTGCCTGCAGACCTCTGTAAGGAGCTAATGGAAGAGGCATCTTAGACCTTTGAAGTTCCCCTGTGTGATGAATCTGTTCCCATGGGGATTTCTGTCTTGCTTTCCCAGCCTTTATATTCTGTAGGAAATGAAGTGCTATTATAAGACTTAAGACCAAATTAATGGTTTCTAAAGTTCCAAAGGCTCTGCTGAGCCTACCCCAAGAGGATGATTTTAGCCAGTAGCATCCTTGAGCTAAGAGAATTAGAAAGCCATGAATTATTTTTCAAAACACCTTCGAAGGATAACACTAATGCCATAGTGGGTTATGTTCATAGCAAAAGACACTAGCAAATGTTGGCTTCCCAGCATTAAAAAAAAATGGCATGCTAAACTCATGCCCATGAAAATTAGTCTTGAACACTGCCTCTCTGTGAGGCCTGAATTAACAGGCTCACAAAACCTTTTGGTCTGTCATCCTCCCTTCTTGCTCTTGTTCCCAGCAGTCTGGGGAGTTTCAGAACCACAAGTTTTCTTTCCCTCCAATTCTCAACATCTGGAGCCTTGAAAACATGATGGGGAGCTTGTAAACAATGATTTAATGGGATGGGAATTTCATTTTTCCCCATCCAACAACAAGATTAGCTGTTGTTATTAATGACTTAACTAAATTCCTGAACCTATCACCAATGCAATTACTTTTGGGGCTGTAGGCAGTTCAGGCAAAGGCAGAAGAAAAACCCCATTAATGACTTTTTGAAGAGGTGGTGGTGGCATCCTGGCTGACAGCACAGAACGGCCACAGGGTGTGTTAATCAAAGCAGAACAACAGGAATCGATTTCACTCTCTCCCTCCCTCCTCCCTACAGAACCGTGAGCCCCGAACTCAAGTCTTACGCTTTGGGGGTGCTTTTCCTGCTGCTCCGATTGCTAGGTAGGTACAAAAATTGTATGTCCTTCTCTCCCATCCTTTCTTCCTTCATGGAAAACTCATTATTTTTAACACACAAAAGTTGATTTCTACTCTGTGCAGTGCTGTGGTTGTCATGAGTGGGGTCTGACACGCTGGGGTCCAAGCCCTCTCCATGAAGGATATCACATCAAGGCTCCTGAAGGCACTTTTCCTGCTATTTGTATTGTGCTAATGGAAGAAAATGCAGTGTTGCATGAGAAATGACTGTTTCTCCCATGGTCCCACACAACCAGTTTCTCTTCTATAGCTGTTATTAACGTGTCAGCAGCTTGCAAAATTACTGCTGTATTGCATATTGCTGAAGTAGAGGGATATGTATTTTCCCCCTCCTTTGAGGGACAGGACCTGTGTTACATGGTGTTTTTGTCCCTTCCTTCGGGTCTCTTAGAAAGGAAACCAGAAAAATGACACAGGCTGAGTCCTTGTATCCTCCTGTGGGTTAATATCCCATTAAAATGCATATGGCTGCTCCTCTGGACCAGTATGTGCTTCTCATGTATGAATTAAGAGGAACACACCAGGCTGTTGTTTGCCTGCTGCTTGTTTCTGGGTGGAGTTTTTTTCCCATTTGGAAGATGTGGCTTCTGTTTTAAAGGTTTTGTACTTCAGCTCATTAATCTCAATGATTCAGGGCAAAATCCTCTGAGCCACCATCATGTAGGACCATCTCATGCCCAGGGTTTCTGCATGTTGTAGAAGTGCAATTTACTTTGTTTTAGCAGGACACAGGCAGCACCTTCCCTGCACAGTTCCCCCAGTCCCAAAGGAATGAGCTGGAGAGTAAAGTGCCATTTCTTAGGCTACAGTAAGACACTGGGAAGTACAGGACCACAAATCCAACAGTACCATACATTGATTTGAATGAGTGACCTCACTGATTTACTTATTTTTTAACACCTTGTTTTCCACTAACTGAAAGGGAAATGATGCTCCCAAACTAGTTTACAATAAAGCCATTTAGATTTCCATTGGTTTTGGTGAAGTAGCTGCAGTCACACAAAAAAGCTCCATCAAGTAATCTTTTCCAGAGCTCAGATAAGTCAAAGGGAATCTTCTGGGATGACTTGGGTTAGCTCTGGTTCAAGCTTTGCAAACACAGCATTTGCTCTTGGGCTCTGGCCTGTCCTCAGCTCTCTCTGGATGAATGTGGAGTGTCAGCAGGCAAGTGTACAGGGAGGTTGGCTGTGGGCTGTTGTTTCCAAAGGAGAAAGTACTTAAGGGGAGAAATTTTCTCTTTTCCTTTCAAAAGACAGAAGCCTCCTGAGGTAGCAGCAGCCTGAATTCCTCTAAAACCAGGCTCAGACATGTATGCTTATGTTGAACAGATCTTGTTTTTTCATTCCAATAAAGAAGCCATAGTAGGAGTTTAAACTCAAATCTTTATATGTTGCTCTGTCACTAAGGGATTCCTATGAAATAAGACAATACATCCTGAAGCATATCAGCAGTGTAGCTGGAACACAGAGAAAATGAAGAGAAAGGTGCTTTTCAATATGAGCAAGGGTATCCAAATTGTGCCCTTAACAACCTGAGGTTTGAGAATAGCTTTACTGATTTATTTTAAAAGCTTTTCAGTTCACCTTTAAGCTTTGACTTAAGAAGGCAGTGATAATAGCTGCTTCTTGAACCAAAGGAGAGTATTAAATACAGAAGGTATGAGACCCGAAGGTGCAATCATAGCTAATAGATTTCAGTAAGACAGAAGCAGCTTTTTTATGCAGCCCTACAGTTTCTGCAAGGAAATATATATATGTACAGCAGAAATTTTTGCAACATATTGCTGTAAGAGGTACAACATGATTGAATCTCTTTAATATTCACTGTAATAACATGAAACATGAGTGAATTCTCCCGGTATCCTCCTGCATGTATTATCTTATTTCATAGGGATTCTGCTGTGAGAGGGCAGCGTTACAGTGTCTTCATATAAAAGCCTTACTGCAGTTTCTCAGGGAAGAGAGTAAAGCAATGCCATTGGAGCCAAAGGTTTGGAATGGAAGTGTCTGGAATGGCAAAGAATTTCAGACTTGTATGATGGATGCATCCTTTCTGGATGGTGTTCACCATGCATCCAAGCAAAGCCTCCACTTACCAGGGCACTTCCTTTGATTTTTCCTACAAGCCCATGGTTTTTGTCTCTTCTTCTAACATGACAAAACCCCACAGTGTTTCTCCCTCAGAAGGAGTTTCCAGTCTGCAGTGCAACCTCTCAACTCCCTTGTCTCAGGGGGTCTAGGCTCCACGTCATTCCTGTGAGTCTCTTGTCTTCTCCTCCACTAAGAATAACCTGAAACACTCACTAATTCCTAGAAGTTTTTCATATCCACATCCATGCCTATGTTCACATGGGAGTAGCTTCGGAGCTCAGTGAAAACAGGTCCTTCCTCAGGTCTTACAAGGACAATTTCCAGGCCAAATTATTTTGTGAACCAGGCAAGCCAGCTGAAGCCAGCAGGTGGGGATGGTAGCTCTCTCTGAAGTTCAGCCTGCACATCTCCAAAGCTTTGTAGCAACACCTCTCAACATGTTAACAAGTAGGGGCTCACACCTCAAAATTAGGATCCAAGTGAGGTTTTCTGTTAGTCTAGAAAGCATGTGGCTCCTGCCTCCTTGGTCACTGCCAGAGCTGGATGTTACCCCCCGAGGTGCCATCCAGCAGCACTAAGCACACAAGCTGCCATCAGCAGCACAGCCTCTTGCTTGTTTCTGGCATGAACCCAGCTGAATTTTTAAATTCCAAGTTGAGTGTGTGGTTGTCCACAGGTTTCACCAAAAAAAGCATCTTTTAACTTAGAAGCACAACAAGCCCAGTCTGGAATTTCCAGTCATTGAAACAACAAACTGAGAGCTGGCACTGACATTTTTTCCAGAACATTACCAGGTTTTTAGATGTGATGACTGGAACTAGCATTTCTAACAAACAGATTGTCTTGCTTTTTGTATCATCTGTTTTTATTTACAACATTTGTGCTATTAATGACTGGTTAAAATGAGTACCAAAAGCCTATATAGCCTTTCTTAATTCCTGCATTTATTAACACAGAAGGAAGATCAAACAAAAACTGCAGAGCTCCAGTCATCAACAAAACAAAATAAAGAGATCTCAGTTACCACAGGGAACAGTGAAGACAACCAATTTATTTGTAGTCTTAGGATACCATGTCATGGATGTCACTAGGTTGTTCATGACAAGCTGAAGGAAGGTATCTTTTTTAAGCCTGGAAATCCAGGTTAACGATGAAACTGGATCCAAGATTAAGCCCTTTCCTGTCTAAAAACTGCAGTCCTTGTGTCTGTTTGCACATGTATTTATAGAGTCTCAGGCATCGCAGCACCTACGGATGCAGTGATACTGTTGAGGGTGTGTTGTGCCTACCTGCTGTTGTATTTCAGTAGATATGACACTCTCCTTTGCTTGCTGTCTTAACCCACAGCAGTGACTTTATCAGTCAGGGCTTTTTTCAGGGTTTATCTGCTTCCAGCCTCCCCCTATAAATACAGCAGAAGGAGGAGAAATGGTTACATTAAGCAGAACATCCACATTTTCTTCTGCATGCTGCGCTTCTGGTGCACGTGTGCTGGCTGGGGAGGGCAGAGCTGGAACTTGGATGTCCTCAGCACCATCAGGGTAAATGTGAAATGGGGGTTGCTGCAATGTCCCCGTGGGATGGGGAGAAGTAGAGAAGAAAAACATTGCCTTTATTAGTTAAATGAGATTGGAGTGATTACTTGGCTTTAAGATTGCAGCTCTGCTGCAAACTATGATTGAGAAACACTCATTGGTAGTTAGCTGCAGTGGCTGTGGGAGAATCCTGCTGTGATATTTCATTTAATGGTGCTCTGAAATTTTCCCTTCTTTGCAGATTTGACATCTATTAGTGGCCATTGTTTCTTTTTCTTAGACCCAGAAAAAACCTTTGCCTGTGACAGGGAAAGGTCCAAAAGTGGATCTCTGTGCTCTGGCCGATTTCAGGCTCTGCACTGGAGTGCTATGACAGACTTCAGGTGAACACCCTGTGTAGAAGTGCAGCATTACCAGTACCAAAACAGAGAGCAAGCTGCAAGGCTGTCCTCTTCCTCTTTCATTTACCCCTCCAATCAGTCTCATTAGGCAAACGAGAGGCTTAATAAAAGCCACTTAAACTCGA